AAAACGCTCAGTAGGAACCCCCCACCAACTTATTCCATACACTTTCTCATTTCTATAATAAAAAATATAGACAACAACGGTAGAATAGGTGTCGACGAATTAATTCATGAACAAAATGACGTTAGCATAATTAAAAGTATACACCGTTAATGTCTGAATATTACATCATCAAATTATAAACAAAAAAAAAATAATTTAATTTTGTAGTCCTTTAAAAATAACCGTAGCATTAAACTTTAACATCGCATAAAATATATATGTTTATGGTTCATTATAGTTATTAAATTGTAACTATATTTAAGGATGATATGGATGAACACAATACACACGNAAAAAGACATATTAATTGTTAATAATTTTAGTCAAAATATACAATAAATAGGATAGGAGTGTGATTTTTATTTCAGTAACATATGTGATCCTGTGTAATAATAATGTGATACTATATTTGTAGAAACAAAATTGAACACAGACCGTGCAACCAATGTCTGCAAAATGTGTGATTTCCCTAAATTGTTAAATAATGTTACAATTATCAAAATAATTACTATTTTGAGTAATAGGATATTATAACAATAAAACATTTTAATATTTCAAAAAAAAAATGTATTAATTTATTAGCGTATACACTATCTCCTTGTGAAACAATATATATTATCTATTTATTATTTTCATGAATATATTGTTGGATTATTAACAATTAAATATTCAAATCAAAATTTTAAATTAGTATTTATATTTAAGGGATAAAAAAAATTTATTTTTTTTTAAATCCAATGTCACTCTCGAAAACCAATTTAAAATATTTAATATTATTAACATTAAAAAAATCCGTGGAACGTGATGGTATACTCAATATATATTACAAATCTATACGTGCTGCAGCTTTTAAAACAATATGTTGTTTTCCCTGTTATATATCTAGCTAAATATTTCGGTCGTTCTAGTTTACTTGATTTTTTCTTGGTTTTACGTCAATATTTTTTTAATTATGTCATCGTTTTGAGTTCAACCTTATGATAGAAATGCGATCAATTTTATATTTTGAAAATTCGTAACGATTCTCTTGTTCACCTATAAATCATTTTTCATTTACAATGATTTATTATTACACACAGTAGGTAGGCATACCATTTCGATTATATTATTATTCTATACCTCCTAAAATTCCCGCCTACACAAGTGATTGCTTCTCCGTGTTTATTTTCGAAATTTTGTTTTTATATAAAAAATAACGTGAATTTAATGTGAAACAAAAAGTTTAATGTATTAAAAAATTTCATAATATATAGAACGGTCAATAATTGTCAATTTTATCCATAGAAAGATCGTTTAGATAACCTACGATGTGATAAACTGACATATCGGACAACATAAGTGTTTCCGTTTTTTCGCGCCACGCGTGTGTCCCATACGATAGGTAAAAACGCCGTAATAACCAATAACTGAGTGGCACGAATTTGGCATAACATTGTTAGCAGTACTTTTCAAAAACATATCTACCAGAGAAACTTTGATCGTACTCCTATTGTTTTCTCGCAGTGTTTCACCTAGTTAGGGAAAATAATCAAAATACCAAAAAATGATTGACAAAATTTTGCAATATAGAAAATCAATTAGCTACATACTATAATAAACAAATTTTACTACGTTTATTACTAAACTAGAACGAACTAATTATTTGGATTTATGTATATGTATTGCTATTTATTGTTTGAATAATAAAATCCAAATATTAAAGTAAATACATATAGATAAAAGTATTAATCGCTAATTTCCCAATACTATATCATCAATTTAAAAACAAAAAAAAAAAAACATTACATTTTGTAATCAGTAACAAATAACAGTAGCATAATACAATAACTTTACTTAAAAAATATATTTGTATCGTTCATTTAGTTTTTTAAATTGTAACTATATTTAAGGATGATATAGATAAAATCAAAAAACACGTTAAATGACATTAAATTTAAATAATTTTTATCAAAATATATAATAAATATAAATTTGGTAAATTTATAAAAAAATTCAACACTAAGTTCACACACATTTTTTTATTGAAGTTTAAGGAAACTCATCAAAAGAGTCTTAACATTTCATTTATTTCCAGATGAACTCGAACCAATGACTACGTTTTTAGAACCGGGCTCTCTTTTTTTTTGTTTGTCTCTAACTACGCTCATAAGCTTGACTGCGGATTTAATATCAAATATATTTTCCGGACAGTACTGTGAGTACATAGTAGTAGCAGAATGGAATTCAAAATTGATGTCCATAGATTTCTCTACGATGGAAAAAAATGTACTCATATAGTTCATAGCATCCATGCAATTCCCGTTTATAAACGTGTTAAATTGTTTGTATCCTTCATCGTTGTTGGGAAGTTTTGTCTCGGACCATTCCAAAAAATTATCTTTTTCGTGCTCTGGGATGATGTCATTGAGAGTTATATTACCGCTGTCGTCAATATTTTGTGTTCTAAAAAGGATAGTTTTTATGTCATTAGTTGGTTGTGGTTCATTTTGTGAGTCTTTATCGGTGTTTGAAAGTAAATAAAGATATTTGTAAAATAATTTTGTCCCGTCGTTATGCTACCGGATACTATCTCGTATGCTTTGTAAAACATGAGATTCGACGGTTATACCTGTGCGTTCTAAGTACAAATCTATAATTTGCGCGTAAATGTAAACGTAAGTATTCATTGTTCTGCCTAAATGGTTTACAAACACATTATGAAAATTCCCTACATAGAACGTGTTCAAACCCCACGGTAATGTAGCATAATACGCAACTGATAAACTCATATTTACGGTCTTTATATTAATATTTTTCGATTTTATCTCATGCAAACGGGTGTTTTGGAAAATTTCGGTAAGAAAATATTTACCACTCAACCACTCGAAAGTGGTCCAAACACCCATTCCGTTGTAAAATTGTTTAATGGTATTGTAGATATCTTCCAAATACTTCAAGTACAAAATTTTTCAATTTTCGTTGGATAAATATTTGTCTTAATTTTTTTTTCGGGACCTCAATTTTGGTTATAAATATATTCCATGTCCAAATATTTTCACCGACTTCCGTATACATATAATCTTCTCGGTTTCGATATCCTTAACAGCTGCAGTACCCCGAAAAGCACTTGTGCAACGGATATCAATGTATCCCTTGAAGTCTCCGCAAAACGTCAAATATGTGCTGAACATTATAGAGTCGTCGTTAACCTCATTTTCTATTAAATAGACAAGAATGAAAGACATTTTATGGCATATTTCTTGTAACATATCCATCATATCATTCGTGTTCTTTAAGTCTTTTTGGTTGCTTTTGAAAGTGTCTTTGTACTATTCAATATAGTATTTGTACAATATNGCACTAGTGCAACGGATATCAGTGTATTCCTTAAAGTCTGCGCAAAACGTCAAGTACAAGCCGAATATTATCGAGTCGTCGTCAACCTCATTTTCGTTTAAATAGACTAGAATTAAAGACATTTTATGACATATTTCTTGTAATATATCCATCATATCATTCGTGTTCTTTAAGTCTTTTTCGGTTGCTTTTGAAAGTTTCTTTGTACTATTCAATAAAGTATTTGTACAATATTGTTGGAGTTTCTTTAATGTATAAAAAACAATTTCTTGCATTGTTTCGAGCTTTGACAAATCTTTTGACCGAATATCAATATTTGATAAATCGCAATCATTCCGAAGTTCATTTGTATAATTTTTATTGAGTTCCAGAAAATGTACATTGTTTTTAGAATTTATTTGTATTTTATTGTCCCTGGTAATTATTTAAGTCACCTTGAATTTTATTTCGTTAATATGCGAATTATGTTCATTATAATGATATTTTAGTTTACCGAGATTTTCACTCATGCATGATATAAAATCGATATAACCAATGGTTTCGTAAACATTTGGATTGAAATGTATACTCTCATTTTTGTAGTTCGGCTGCCGAAACAGTTTGTCACTAATATTTGTCTTAATTTCCGTCATTGATACTAAAGTTGCTAAATTTTTCTCAATTGTTTTTTCAACAAGTTGTTTTTCGATATTATAAGGTGACGCATTGATATATGTCTTGAAATAGGTTGGTAATGTATAACAAAGAACTATATGAATTTTATTCAACAGAACTGTTATTGAATTCTGAAAGACATTAATTTTAATAAAATCTAAACATATCGGGAGAAATGAACAGATCTTTAAAAGATATTCCACATGTGTAAGTCCAGTTCCATTTCCTAAATAAAACATGCAGGCCATCTGCTGTAATTTTAGAAGTAAATCGATTTCAATTGTGATAAATTCTTCAGATACATGGCTCACATTTTTGTTTTGATGCCAAGTTATAATTTCCGTTCGTTTTTGGTGATTATGTTTCGTTTGAAATTCGTTTACGGTACTATTAAACCTACTTCTATCAGTAGTTAGTCTGCGATCTGTTGTAACTTAATTTGAAATATCTAGAACAATAACAAAGACTACTAACGTATAAAACACCAATTTTAAAGCATTAAACGCCATTGAACCGTTACGTCGTGAGTTGTGATAAAATGTGTACTTTTTATGAATTGAAACTTTTCTAACTTGTTTATACCTGTATCTGTTTCCGAATGAGATAGTACGATTATCGAAAAAACTTTTTTTAACTCTTTATGTTATATTGATTTAGGAGGGCTAATGCTTTAAAGTGTTAAAATATGAGGGTACCTATTCTGAAAGAAATTTTCTCAACTTGTATATACGTGTTATTGTTGCAGTCAATATGATACTATCAAAATTATGCTTGTATCTATAACTAACTATTAATGTTTTACGAGCACAAAAGTAAGGCTGTATTGAGCGATAATTAATTATATATTTTCTACGTTTCCGATATTCTTTACGTCATAAATCAGTATGAAGCATAAGTCAACATAGTGTATTTAATCAAGTGTTCAAAATTGTTATTTCACAGTACTAATATCATAATAACCGAAATTGGTACACGTATATACGAGTTTTAAATGATTCTATTTCGGGTAGTTACTCATTCTATCTAGTTGAATCCAATGTAATATTAATGTGAAACAAAAAGTTAATTGTAATTATAAAATCTCATATTATATTGAATGGTCAATGATTGTCAATTTTATCCATAGAAAGATCGTTTATGTAACCTACGATTTAGTAAACTGACATATCGGCTAATATAAGTGTGTCTCTAATATCGCGCCGCGCATGTATCCCATGCTATGGAAAAAAACTCCGCAATAACCAATAACCGAGTAGCATGAATTTGGCATATCATTGTTAGCAGAACTTTTCGAAAATATAACTACCAGTATAAAAAAGTACTTGCCGTCCAATTGTTGAAGACCATCTTTAAATTCCTTATACGTTAAACCGTGTACTGCTGGCATCACACATTACACTTTACAGTTTACACTTGTATTGCAATCGTATTAAAACGTCCAAAAACCTTTCAACAGTGTTTAAATTGACTTGTAGGACATCGTTGGAAACTATTTTGATTTTTTCGTTGCCACTCTATTTATATTTATTTTTCGATAAACTTTGTAATACGTGACCACACCTGGTATTACATTTTCATTAAATCATTTTACTACATATTCCAAGTAGATAAGTGTGATTTTATAATAATAATCAAATAATAAAATACATCAAAAAAATCAAATTAAAGAAAAATAACCGACAAAAATTTATAAACATACAAAAACAATGATCGTGATACTATAGTAAAACACATGTTACTACGTTTGTAAACTAAGATAGAATTAAATAATTATTGGTAATATGAATAAAATGCGATTTATTTGATAAATAATAAAACTCAAATTTAGAATTAAACACATATAATTGAAAATACCTTTTTAATACTAGATCATCAATTAATAAACAAAAAAAGTACATTACATTCTGTAGTCGTTTACAAATAACCTTAGCATTATACATTTACTTTGCAAAAAAAATATATTTTTATCGCTCATTAAATTTATGAAATTGAAACTATATTAAAGGATGATATGGTTGAACTCAAAAAAAAAATTTTAATAAGATGACATATTAAATATGAATAATTTTTATCAAAAATATAATAAATCTAAATTTGTTAAATTCATAAAAAAAATTCAACACTAGGTTCACACAAAATTTTCTATTAAAGTTTAAGGTATCTCATCAAAAGATTTTTCAACGTTGAAGTATTTTCAAGTAAACTTGAACCAATGCTTACACTTGTAGAACCGGCCTCTGTATTTATTTGCTTGTCTTCAACTACGCTCATGGGCTTTATAGCAGATTTCACATCAAATATATTTTCCTGACAGTACTGCGAGTACATAGATTTAGCTGATTGGAATTCGAAATCTATGTCCATAGACTTTTGAACGATCGACAAAAAAGTACTCATGTAGCCCATTGCGTCCATACAATTCCCATTCACAAACGTGTTAAATCGTTTTTTTCCAACATCGTTGTTGGGGATATTAGTTTCGGCCCATATCAAAAAATAGTTTTTTTCGAACTCAGGAATGACGTCGTTGATATTTAAATAACCGTTGTCGTCAATATTTTGTATTCTATAAATGATAGTCTTTATGTTATCATTTGATAGGGATTCATTCTGAGGGTCTTTATCGGTGTATAAAGGTAAATGGAGATATTTGTAAAATAATTTCGTCCCTTCGTTATACCACATAACACTATCTCGTACTTTTTGTAAAACATGAGAACCGATGCTCGTACGTGTGCGTTTTAAGTATAAATGTATGATTAGCGCGTATGTGTAAACGAAACCAATCATAATTTTTTCTACATGGTTTACAATCACGTTATGGAAAGTCCCTATAGAGGACATGTTCAAACCCCATGGTAATGCAGCATAATACGCAACCGATAATTTAATATTTACGTTTTTAATATCTATATAATTCGATTTTATTTCGTACATACGTTCGTTTTTGATATTTTCGGCAAGAAAATATTTACCACTCAACCACTCAAACGTGGTCCACTCGTCCATTCCTTTGTTAAATTTTCTGATAGTATTGTTGATATTCACTAAATAATTCAGGTACAAAAATTTACAGTTTTCGTTATTTGAATTCTTGTCTTCATTTTTTTGGGGGACATCATTGGTTGTTATTAATATATTCCACGTCCAAATGTTTTTCAACGTTTCCTGTATACAATTAATCTTCTTGCTTTCGAGGTCTGTTATGGATGAGGTACCGTGAAATGCACTGGTGCAACGGATTTCACTGTATCCCTTGAAGTCTCCGCAAAATGTCAAATACGTGCTGAACATTATAGAGTCGACGTTCACCTCATTTTCTATTAAATAGACAAGAATTAAAGACATATTATGACATATGTCTTGTAACGTGTCCATAATATCAATCGTGTTCTTTAGGTCTTTTTGGTTTACTTTTGAATTTGTCTTTGTACTATTTAATATAGTATTTGTACAATATTGTTGGAGTTTTTTTAATGTATAAAAAACAATTTCTTGCATTGTTTCGAGCTTTGACAAATCTTTTGACGGAATGTCAACATCCGATAAACCGCATAGGTTCCCAAGATCATTTGTATAATTTCTATTAAATTCCAGAAAATGCATACTGTTTTCAGAATCGATTTGTTTTTCATTGTCTCTGGTAATTACTTTAGTCACCTTGAATTTTATTTCCTTAGTATTCGAATTATGTTCCATATAATACTGATTTATATTACCAGAATTTTTTCTTATATATGATATAAAATCGATATTTCCAATGATCTTGTAAACATCTGTAATAAAATTCTGACTGTCCATCTTATAGTTCGTTTGCGTAAACAGGTTTTTACCTATTTTTGTTTTTTCATTTGTCATTGATAATATATATGCCAAATCAGTTTCAATTGTCTCATTAAAACGTTCACTTTCTATATGATTCGGTAACGCATTGATATATGTCTTCAGATATGTTGGTAATAAATAACATAGAACTACATGAATTTTGTTCAACATAGTTGTTATTGAATTCTGAATTACATTAATATTGATGAAATCCAAACATCTCGGGAGATATGTACAGATCGTTATAAAATAGTCCTCGTGAATGAGTCTGGTGTCATCTCTTTCATTAAACGCGTAGGCCATCTGCTGTAATATTAGAAGTAAATCG